CCCCCACCGACTCCCCCAGCTGCCTGGTAGGAGTATATGAGCTTCTCGCTCCCCCAAAATGCCCCCGGTCGAAATGACCATCCCTACTCCCGATCGACAGGGTGACCCTTGACTTTCACAGCATCGTCAAGTCATCCTTCATTATACCCCACCATGGCGGAGGATCAGGAGAAAGTCTCCTACACCCTCGGGGTCCCCGAAGGCAAGGAAGATACCGACAGCACCGCTACCGTCCTCGATGAAGATCCCACCGTCACCCCTCGCAACCCCGGTGCCAGTCGTGCCGATGGCTGGGCCTTGATGTCCCAGGTCAAGCAGCAGAACGAGCGGGACATGCAATCCGGCTTCAAACGCAAGGAACTCGGTGTCACCTGGAAGAACCTTTCCGTCGAAGTCGTCAGCGCCGAGGCCGCCGTCAACGAGAATTTCCTGTCCCAGTTCAACATTCCTCAGCACATCAAGGAGTCCAAGAACAAGCCGCCGTTGCGTTCCATCCTCTCCAACAGCCATGGCTGTGTCAAACCCGGAGAGATGCTTTTGGTTTTGGGTCGGCCTGGCTCTGGTTGCACCACCCTTTTGAAGATGCTGTCCAATCGACGCCTCGGTTACAAGTCGATTGAAGGTGACGTTCACTATGGATCCTTGACATCGGATGAGGCAGCCCAGTACCGCGGCCAGATTGTCATGAACACCGAGGAGGAAATCTTCTTCCCCACCTTGACCGTGGGCCAGACTATGGATTTTGCGACTCGTCTCAAGATTCCCTTCAACCTGCCCAACGGCGTCGAGTCCCCCGAAGCCTATCGCCAGGAAGCCAAGAAATTCCTTCTCGAATCCATGGGCATCTCGCATACGAACGATACCAAAGTGGGCAATGAATACGTGCGTGGTGTCTCGGGTGGTGAGCGTAAGCGTGTCTCCATTATCGAGTGTCTTGCGACTCGTGGTTCCGTTTTCTGCTGGGATAACAGCACGCGTGGTTTGGATGCTAGCACGGCCCTCGAATGGACCAAGGCTGTTCGTGCCATGACGGATGTGTTGGGTCTGTCTTCCATTGTCACCCTTTACCAGGCCGGAAACGGTATCTACGACCTGTTCGACAAGGTGCTCGTGTTGGATGAAGGCAAGGAAATCTACTATGGCCCCATGACCCAGGCGCGTCCCTTTATGGAGGATCTGGGCTTTGCTTGCCGCGAGGGTTCCAACGTCGCCGACTACCTTACCGGTGTCACGGTCCCCACCGAACGCATTATCAGACCAGGCTACGAGAATCGCTTCCCTAGAAACGCGGACATGATTCTCGCTGAATACCAAAAGTCGCCTCTTTATACGCAGATGATCTCCGAATACGACTACCCCGACACTGACCTGGCCCGCCAGCGCACTGCCGAATTCAAGGAATCCGTCGCCCAAGAGAAGAACAAGAAACTTTCCAAGACAAGTCCCTTGACGGTTGACTTCATCGACCAGGTCAAGACCTGCATTATCCGCCAGTATCAAATCATCTGGGGTGACAAAGCCACATTTTTCATCAAGCAGATCTCTACCTTGGTTCAGGCGTTGATTGCTGGTTCACTGTTCTACAATGCCCCTAATAACTCGGGTGGTTTGTTTGTCAAGTCCGGTGCTCTGTTCTTCTCCCTGCTCTATAACAGTCTTCTGGCCATGTCCGAAGTCACCGACTCATTCAGCGGTCGCCCGATTCTGGTCAAACACAAAGGCTTCGCATACTACCACCCCGCCGCCTTTTGTATCGCTCAGATTACTGCCGATATTCCGGTTCTCTTGTTCCAAATCAGCGTGTTCTCCATCGTGGTTTACTTCATGGTTGGCCTCACCATGTCCGCCAGCGCGTTCTTCACCTACTGGATCCTTGTCTTCACTGCAACTATGGTAAGTCATCGCATACATCCGCTTGTTGCCCGTAATTGTACTGACGTCTCGCTTAGGCCATGACAGCGCTGTTCCGCGCGGTCGGCGCGCTTTTTAGCACGTTCGATGGCGCCTCCAAGGTCTCTGGTTTCCTCATCTCGGCTCTGATCATGTACACCGGTTACATGATCAAGAAGCCCCAGATGCACCCTTGGTTCGGCTGGATTTACTGGATCAACCCCATGGCTTACGGTTTCGATGCGCTGCTCTCCAACGAATTCCACGGAAAGATCATTCCTTGTGTGGGAACCAACCTCATTCCCAGTGGAGAGGGCTACGGTGGAGACGGGCATCAATCATGCGCCGGTGTTGGTGGTGCCATCCCCGGAAGCACCTATGTCACTGGTGATCAGTACCTGGCTTCCCTATCCTACAGCCATACCCATGTCTGGCGCAACTTCGGTATCCTCTGGGCTTGGTGGGCGCTCTTTGCTGCCGCCACCATCATCGCGACGTCCCGCTGGAAGTCTCCCGGTGAGAGCGGTTCCTCCCTTCTCATCCCGCGCGAAAGGGTCGATGCCCATCGCCAGGTTGCCCGCCCCGACGAGGAATCCCAGGTCGACGAGAAAGCCAAGAAACCCCATGGTGACAATTACCAGAGTGAAAGCGACCTTGACAAGCAGCTGGTTCGAAACACCTCTGTTTTCACCTGGAAGGATCTCACCTACACGGTCAAGACCCCTAGTGGCGATCGCGTGCTCCTCGACAAGGTTTACGGATGGGTGAAGCCTGGCATGCTGGGTGCCCTGATGGGTTCCTCCGGTGCTGGTAAAACTACTCTCCTGGACGTCTTGGCTCAGCGAAAGACTGAAGGTACCATTCACGGCTCTGTCCTCGTCGACGGTCGTCCTCTGCCTGTCTCCTTCCAGCGCTCTGCCGGTTACTGTGAACAACTTGATGTCCACGAGCCTTTTGCCACTGTCCGTGAGGCCTTGGAATTCTCCGCCCTGCTCCGCCAGCCTCGCCATGTGCCTGCTGAGGAGAAGCTCAAGTACGTTGATACCATCATTGAACTTCTTGAACTGCATGATATCGCCGATACCCTTATTGGTCGCGTCGGAAACGGACTGAGCGTTGAACAACGCAAGCGTGTCACTATCGGTGTCGAGTTGGTCTCGAAGCCCAGCATTCTCATCTTCCTGGACGAACCCACCTCCGGTCTTGATGGCCAGTCTGCTTACAACACTGTCCGTTTCCTGCGCAAGCTCGCCGACGTCGGCCAAGCTGTGCTCGTCACCATCCACCAGCCCTCCGCGCAACTCTTCGCTGAATTCGACACCCTGCTCCTCCTCGCCAAGGGTGGAAAGATGGTCTACTTCGGTGACATTGGTGACAACGGCCAAACCGTCAAGGACTACTTTGCTCGCTACGGCGCCCCCTGTCCTGCAGAAACCAATCCGGCCGAGCACATGATCGACGTGGTTTCCGGCGCGCTCTCCCAAGGTCGCGACTGGCATCAAGTCTGGAAGGATTCTCCCGAGCACACCAACTCCCTCAAGGAACTCGACTCCATCGTTGACGACGCCGCCTCTAAGCCCCCTGGTACCGTCGACGACGGCAACGAATTCGCCATGCCCCTCTGGCAGCAAACCCTCATTGTGACCAAGCGCTCCTGCGTCGCAGTCTACCGTAACACCGACTACGTGAACAACAAGCTGGCCCTCCACGTCGGCTCGGCCCTCTTCAACGGCTTTTCCTTCTGGATGATTGGCAACCACGTCGGCGCTCTCCAACTCCGTCTCTTCACCATCTTCAACTTCATCTTCGTCGCCCCCGGTGTGATCAATCAACTGCAGCCCCTCTTCCTGGAACGCCGCGACATCTATGACGCTCGTGAAAAGAAATCCAAAATGTACTCCTGGATTGCCTTTGTGACTGGGCTTATCGTCTCCGAACTCCCCTACCTCTGCATCTGCGCCGTCCTCTACTTCGCCTGCTGGTACTACACCGTCGGCTTCCCCTCGGATAGCAACAAATCCGGCGCTGTCTTCTTCGTCATGCTGATGTACGAGTTCGTCTACACGGGTATCGGTCAATTCGTCTCCGCGTACGCCCCCAACGCCATCTTCGCCTCGCTCATCAACCCGGTCATCATCGGAACCCTCGCTTCCTTCTGTGGTGTCCTCGTCCCCTACACCCAGATCCAAGAATTCTGGCGCTACTGGATCTACTACCTCGACCCCTTCAACTACCTCATGGGCAGTCTCCTGGTCTTCACCACCTTCGACACACCCGTCCGCTGCAAGGAGTCCGAATTTGCCATCTTCGATCCTCCCAACGGTTCGACGTGCGCCCAGTACCTCCAGGATTACATGATGGGCGCCGGCGCGCGCATGAACCTCATCAACCCGGACGCCACGGCTGACTGCCACGTCTGCGAGTACACGCGCGGAAGCGATTACCTGTATACCATCAACCTGAAGGATTACTACTACGGGTGGAGAGATGCTGCGATCGTCGCTTTGTTCGCGATTAGCTCATATGCTTTGGTGTATGTGCTGATGAAGTTGAGGACCAAGGCGTCGAAGCAGGCTGAGTAGAGAGTTTTTTTTCTCGCCTCGCTTTCCCCTATTGGCATTCGGTCAGTCCAAGGATGGCTGGCCGACTATTATAGACGTACATATGCATACATACCCTTTTGCTTACTTCCATTACCCCCCACTGTCTTGCATATAGACCGATACACCGTTTTTTCTATTCTTTTCTCCACTTATTTTTTTATTTTTCTTTCTACAGATCGTTCTGATTGTCTGTTAATTTGGGCAGCGTCTGTGTGAAGCATTTATACATTTGCACCCTTTTCTTTCTATTTCATTTCGTTCTGAGAATCAGACGACTCCTACCTTTGGTGTCTTGCACGCATTGTGGAGTTGAATTTGATCTATTTTTTTTACTAAAATATTGACTTTGATCTTGATCTTGATTCTTGGTTATGCTCGATAGATGAATACGTGTCGATGTGTAATGCTGCATGTGGATGGATGGTTATTGTTTAATATTAGATGGAATGGCTGTTAGCTAGCTAGATCATGGAAATTTATTTTATAAAAGTCTGAAAACGAGTGAGTGTTTAGTATTATTACATCCAATTTTCCCGTAAATCCCACGGCATAGTTCTAAAGTAATAAGCTAATGATAGTGAATGAATGCTTCAGAGTCGCCCAAAAAAAATACTCAATGTATAGATTACCTTCTTGGACACACTCTCGAATGTGAATACCCAGGCAGACGTCAGCATCACAGAGCTTGCTATATTCATAGGCCTTTTGTATGAGATTCTTTCTACGCCGGTCTCGTTTCTGTCGCATCATCTTCTTGGGTGAGGTGGGGGACTTAGATGACTTCTGCTTGTTTGATTCCGTTGACATTGTACAAAGTTTCTAGATAACAACTTGGTATTTGCCCGAGCGCTGCCCTTATCAGCGCTTTCTGCCTGGCGAGTCTGCCTTGTAAGTTAACTAGCAGGGGTCTGTAACATGAGGGTCACCGGCGGCTCGTTGTCCCGGCGGTTCCGTTGGCCAACTACATTATACCAACTGTCTAACCCCCACCATAGCCTCCTGTCCCGTAGCTGACTTGCGCCTCGAGTCCGTTCCAATGCTGTGCAGGGGCGGGGCCCCAAATGCACCTGTCATAACATTGCAAATGTGACGTGTCAATATCGGAGTGGACCGAAAAAGCGGTTCATCTCGACGAGGGGATATAATTGTTGACTGTCCCGCACATGTTACTGAAGCATTTTCTTTTCAGCTATTCCCACCACCCTCGATGAACTTCAATATAACTTATACACACCGAGACAAATCTACGCAGCATGTGCTTTTATAATCAAAAAAAATTCACATGCGGAGATTGGTCGTGGTCCTCATTGTCGCACAGGTGTAACTATGAGTGGCGCACTGGAGAAACTTGCGGCATGCGATTAGTGAACATGACAGAATTCGAGCCTACACAATGCCGGCTGTGCGAAAAGATTGATACTAAATATCGGCGGCGATCAGCAGAGATGGATCGATTGAACCGTTGGAAGTTGCAAGGCAGCACACTTGTTGGCCACATTGACCGGTCTCAGAAATTAATACAGGCTCTTGACAGGGAGATCTACCAGTTGCAGAGAGAAAGGGAGGACAGAGGAAAATCTTTATCGGGCAGTAATGATGGATCCACGCCTAAGAACCCTGAAGAGCTCCCTGTTAGCAATGACCAGGACAGGAAAAAATTGTTATCGGGCAATGTTGAAGGATCCACTTCTAAAAATCCGGAAGAACTTCCTGTTAATAATCATGTGAGCTCTTTCTGTTGTGAGACCGAAATCACAGAAATGCTCCGAATGAGATCAGACATACGGAGAGCTTTGACAGAAGCATTGGTTCTGACAGCAAAACATGAATTTGTGGAAGCAGCAAGATGCGAGGAGTATATGCGAAAGGCATATGGGAAAGTAGGGGCTAAATTGCTCCAACATATTATTATTGCGCTTGAGAACGGTACAGGGCATTCAGGTGTGTCGTATTTGATAACCCGTGCGCCGTGCGCTATATAATTTAACAATAATTAGGGTGTAGTGATATGGACGTCGAGCTAGGGGAAAAGAAAATAACTGTCATCAGTCACAAAGCATTACCTAACGTCTCGAGTGCTCTACTCTGGCTCTGTCTTGCTATAAGGCAGCCGCAGGCAGCAACATTATCGATTTCGACCGCAAATGTGAAGTATGAGTGCCAGGGCAAAGCTACTCTGGAGGCACTCACGGAGTTCAAGCCGCACAGCAATCAAGCGGATTGTTGGCAAAATCTATTTGACTCAGCAATTATCGCCGTTGAGCCATCCACATCAAAATCTTCAATCTATTGGCTGCATCTAGATTTTGAAGACCTGCTGCAGATTTCTGCTGTAGAATATGCGGTAAATGTTGGATCTGGTCTTATTCTCATGGGATACTCCTCTGCCTTGATACCAATGGGGGCATGTGACAGCCAAACTATGACGTGGCATGTTGAGATATGTCCCCACGCCTCGCAATTTAAGGTTTCAGAAGTTCAGGCCCTAAGATCGGCTTGGCTAAAAACGCTAGATATCGAACAGCTTAAATTAAAACGCGCGAGAGTTGGATGGGTCTCTGGAACAGCAGTTCTTCTTGGCACTGAGAAGCTGCCGCCGACAGTCAGGTGGTCTAAGGCGAAACAGAAGCCTGTGAGGTGGAGCTGGAAGGGGGCCAATCTTCAAGCAGTTGTTAGCTCTACTTCTCCTCTACAACTCGGACTTCAAGGAGCAGTAAGTTTTGAGCGACTCTCATGCACTGTCCGGCTCAGCCCTTCGGGTAACTATCTCAGACTCCTCAATAGCAGTGTCGGAGAAGCCGTCATAATATATGACACAGAAGAGCGTCGTGCCTGGTTGGTCTCGCTGCTAAGTGTACTTCACCACATGGTAATAGTCTATTGCCGAGACAGTTCTGGCTTTCTCAAGTCACGGGAGCTACCATTTGCAGAACCACAACCTGATGGTGGACAAGCGTCTTGGACGACCCTGCGAGGAAGTGGAGATGTCCTCATCCAGCAGGAAGGAACGGACAAATTGACCCTTCGTGACCTTGTGATGGGTTTCTCAATCAACTTCGCGAAAACAACGGTACAGAGGCCTCGTTTGAGAGAGATTTACGGCTATGAATTTATGGATATCGTTCACAACTCGCCAACAGCGGACCTAAAAACCATCAACATTGAGAGAACCGGCCTCTCCTGGATACCGCTATTGCAGAGCATTCCCTGCCTATTTAGCTCACGTCTTGGAGATGCAATTGTTGGATCGAAAGCCTTGACTGAAAACACGCATTGCAACAAACTGGTTCCTGGCCAGGATCTCATGGCTGCATCCATCCACTGCATTAACAACATATCTCAACGCCAGGGCGGCTCTGATACTGGACCCTATCGCCTTCTTCCCGGAGGATACATATGGAAGATAAAAGGACGGCCATTCCTAGACTGTGAGAGACTTGATGAAAAGTGCACTTGCTGGGAGAATAGGTCCTTCCTACAGCATATTTCCAAGCAAGGTCAATTGCTCAACCGGGAATGTCCGACAGCTGAGGTCTGCACGGATGGAGCTGTGGTATTCGGCAAAATCTCGAAATCCATTATCGGAAGCGTTGTTGAGTCTTTATGCGGCAGGGTGGAGAACGCATCGTGCAGTTCTCAACCTGCCAGTTCCTCGAGTTAGGAAGATAAGGAAGAGGCTGCGCTTCTTCATGAAACGCATTCCAGAACATCATATCAACAGTTCCCCATCTCCTGATCGACTCGATCGAAACTAGAAGTGGGCTTGAATACAGCAGAGCTTATTTATATTGGAAATATAGTGAGGCTATTTCAAGAATATATAAAAATTTTCATGACTCCGGAAAGAAAGGCTTAAACTATATCTCTTCAAATTATGATTATATGAATCGGCATGGATGGGACTTAAATATGAAATATAATATTAGATCTTTCAAGTGCCATTCTTGGTACTTATATTAGAGTTTTCTGTTGTTATGATCCTTGCATCAAATAATCCAGTACATACAACCACAGTGTGATAGGATCTACTTGTCAGGCTAGAAAGCCTGTTGACTACGTAAGAAATAAACCGCGGAATACTCCAGATTTTCATAATAATTACAAAGATAATATATATCTATGTAATAGACTGATCCCTGAGGAACCAGTAGTCTAACAACCAGTAATTATTATCTTATAACTACTTATCATGACAGACTGTGATAGTTATTAATAATCTTATAACTCGCATAACCACTGTAATACATTATCCCGACAGTTATTACTACAATAGCCCGGTTATTATATTATAAATAACAAGCAGCTGCCGCGCTTCGCGCGGCACTCCTTGGCTACATTCTTAGACTACATATGCATGACTAATCCTTGAGACTATGCCTGGTCATCAAGGTTAATATAATTTCAAAACAACAATGCTGTTCGAATCTTCTGAGCTACTGCGAGGGATATCTGAAGTCAGATTCTCAGTGGTGTTTATAGAGTCATTATCTAATGAATATACAGACTCAGTACCTATACTGCGTCAGCCCACAAAAATAAATTCGCCACTTGACGATACAACGTAGCAAAATATTAGATATAGTATTAATGAGAAACTGTACGGAAACCACATATCCAATATTACATATTTAACGCCACACATTTAATACCACACATTTAATGCCACACATTTAACGCCGCATGCGGAAGAAACAAATAATAAATAAGAGGGAAGACACGTGCGCACTTGCGGATAGCTGCAGAATTAAGCAATGTCGCTCGATTTATATTATTTATACTCTCCTTGCTGAGCCAAACTGTCCGGATCAGTTATTTAAGATAACTTCATGGTTATTATATCTAAAAAAGACAGCGAACTACTATCAAATGATAGAATAATCCAGAAAATGATTATATAGGCCTGTTGTTTATTTTATCAAAGTCGACTTCTCCCACAACCTTACCCGCCAGGTTCCAACATAACCTAATACCCGATAGAATCTCCGATGGACATGGCACTTTTGGGGGTTCTTGCAGAATCCAACTGCCCATGGTGAGCATACAGATCATATAGCATTTCAACTCTGATATATTCAACTAGTACTAATTTAAGAGTAAGTAACTAGTAGTATATAGTTGATGGCGGATGTAGTACTATTCATTCACCGCGACCTTATCCCTCGACCATCATCATCATCAACATCATCATCATCATCATCATCATCATCATCGTCCAGAGTCTTTTCATGCATTGCATCCCCGGGATCACAAAACCCCATGCCAATGAATAGCAATATTGACAGATTACATTGGCGGTGGGGATGATGAATAAATGGAATGGAATGGCAAAGGTAGAAACTGATTCCGGGTGGTCGCGGGAGGGATCCATCAGTGGCGGGGACAGCAGTTATAGTCATAGCATAGCGGGCCGAGTGAAAACCAGCATCAGACATTGCGCTGCGCAGATATATACATACGCGATGTTGCAATAAGAGCCGAAAACCCCACTGACTGCATGCTTGTGTATGTACTACGTGGGAATCATCCGAGCCGGTACAGGGGATGGGATGGTTGAGTGGCTTGCATGAAATTAAGAATGGGTGTGCATGGCGTCATTATGGGGAGCTTATTCTACAACGATCAGGCAATCGCGGGTGTTAGGAAGGTGATGGTTCTATGATTGCTGCTGCTGCTGCTGCTGCTGCTATGGAGGCAAGGTTTCTCTTGTCCCCCGGGATATCGTGGCTCTTGCTATGTACTACGGACGCTGACTAGGGGTGGGGGGGGGAAGGGGGGATTCGCATGATTGGTACATCGCAATGGATTACTTGAGCAAGGAGTCCTGCACTCCCCTAATCTTTAGGGTCGGGATGTTGATATACCCTTCGATGTCGCCTTCTACGAAGTGAAATGTCGCCGAATACCACATAGCCAACTGAGCTTGTAGGATCTACTGGCAGCGTTGTCAGTCAATCCTATCGGTGACGATTGCAGAAAGAAGAGCTCTCACCTTGACATTGGTGCCTCAACCATGGAGACAGAGCAGTTTCAGAAGCATGAGTCTGAGACGACTGGGGACTGGAGACTGCAGGCTGCAATCATGGCGAGGCAGTTTTACTCGGCCGTGCTTGTAAACTTTATCAAACATGGGCAACCTGAAGCATTGGCGATGGTCAAGCCCGGCCCGAGGGATTCTCTGCAGTGCCATCTTTCTTGGTGTCACCGGATCCGAGGCCTTGACACTGCTTGGATGCCTTCCATAAGCGATGCAGTCGTGGACGATGCACCGATCTATCTCACGGGCGGTGCATTGGAAGTGGCCGTGCAAGCGATCCCGCTGGATACACAGCAGATAGTAAGTGTAGTACAAATGGGTCCGATCTATATCTATCTATCTATGTATGATCGAGATGACCACTAGTTAGGAGATCAAGGCCGAGAAGCGAGCCATGCGCCATCTGGTGTACGTACACCAGATGGCGAGATGGGACGAAGCACGGGATCCAAGTATAGCAGCAAGCAGCAAGTGACCGGGAGATAAAACAGTCTGGAGCAGCGATGATGTTGCAATCGGGACCATCCATCCAATTCATTTTCCCCCTGACCCGACTCCACCGAGAGTCTGGAAACCTCGACCATTTCACCCTTGGGCCGCCATGATTGGCGAGTTGCCACCACCACCACGCCATGTCCCCACCCCACAGACGCTGAGTGGTTGGTAGTGAATGGGGCCCAAACCAATGGCGGACCGGATAAAGTAAAAAAGAAGAATGGTTTGCAAATGGTGAAAACTTTCCTTTTGGTCGGCCCGGCGGGACTGGAAGGGAACTGGAAGGCAATTGGGTGGCCAGCCAGGTTTTTTTCTTTTTTTCTCCTCTTCAGGTACCACAATTCATTATTCATTTGAACAATCCCTCAGTTGGTTCTATGGCTGTCATATAGAATGTGATTGACTTGACTTCTCTGCAAGGAGAGAAAAGACAGATGACGATGACCAGCAGGTTGAATCCTGTATGTATCAAGTCTGGAAGAAGAAGAAGAAGAAGAAGAAGGGATAAGGAATAGTTCTGCAACATTGGCCGGTGAGCTGTCAGTTGGGTTTCATCGTGCAGTGCTGATCCTGCATTCAATTTCTCCGGCATCCATCCAGCCCGGGCTTGTCTTGTCTGGTCTTGTCTGGGATCGCCAATCACGCCCATGTGCCATGAAGTCATGCTGCCGAGTCGTCCTCCATCCATCACGTCCTGTCCTTGTCCTTGTTCCGGTTTTCTGCTTAAAACCACCATCCCGACGGGTCCCCCTTCTTTTCCTCTCACAACAGATACTAGTATTGTTCCTTTGTTTCAATCCCGACTGTGGATGTCTGCCGTGGACTTAGTCTGGTTTATCTCCGACTGCACATCCATTCCACTCTTCCCTACTTAATATTTCCGCAGCTGGTGCTGTTGGTCTAGACTGAGACTTATTTTTGGTTCGGCACCCCTCTCCCCGTGGACTTGACTTTGCCTGTATTCCACACGCCGTTGGGAATTCCCACGCTTGACTACTAATTATCCACCTTTTTCTTTTTCTTTTTCTTTTTCTTTTTCTTTTTCTTTTTCTTTTTCTTTTTCTTTTTCTTTTTCTTTTTCTTTTTTCTTCCCGTCTCGTCTTTTTCCTCCTGCCATTCCGAGTAATTCTCCAGTTTCCTCTCCTACTGGGAAGAGTCATTCCCATTCTCCATATCTATCATTTGACACTTGCACTATTATTCATCGCTTTCTCCCCGTCTTCCTCTCTCATTCGCTGAGCTGCTTTATATTGCCGACCCTCTCCGAATTTATTGCTCTTCATTTTTTCTTTCTTTGTTCCCGTCCTCCCCAGCTATTAGTATTTTCTCGCGTATTCCTCACTTACCAGCTTCCCCCCCCTTACTTTCTTCACTCCACACCTTTCTTGGCTTGACATAATCCTGATTGTCCGCGCAGCTGGCTGCTCGGACTGTTCCAATGTCGGAGTTACCTCGCCATGACGATGCCTCCTATGAACTCCTAGGCCGCCAGAACAGCTGGGACGGAAACGACGGCAACGACGAAACCCTTGTCCCGCGCAATTCGGGCGAGCCATCCGCCCCCTCCCATCCCGAAGGCGAAACCCCAGCTGCTGCAACAGAGGAGGGCGGCCCCAATGAAACCACCAGACCCGCGCGCGTTCGATTTCGCTCCGTCAGTAACAACAATGAGACGGTGCCGGAACGCCCGCCCATGCCGCGCGGGGATTCCGAATACTCCCTGCGCTCAGTGCATTCCTTCGTCCCCACGACCGCTCAATCGACCGATCTGGCCGACTATTTCGAACGCGACTACGCGCAGGAACATGATCCGGTAGAGAGAGAAGGCAACGAAGCAGAGAAACGCTCCTCGCCCACCGCCAATGAATCTCGAGACACCTCCCTCGACAAAGATGAGTCGCAACAACCCGTCTCCGCCAAGGACCGCTGGAGGAACGCCAGCAAATTGCTTCGCCAGAAGACCGTGCTCTTGGGTGAACGCCTCGGTCGACCGCTCGATGATGTAGGTGACTTGGGTGCCGCCATGTTGCCCGATGATCTGGAGGGCGGCTATCCCCCCCGCCGCAGGGGCGATGAGAAGGAGCCTCTTGATCCCCATGGCCGGAATGACGAGCCGCCTCCCCCGCCGAGTGCCGAAGCCCATCGCCTGGTTCGCAGCATGACCCAACATAACATGCATCAACGCCGGAAGCCCAAGTCGGCCTATGCCAAGTCGGGACAGGAGACGCCCGATGGACTGGGTCGTCCGGACTCGAGGTACGGAGCTGGCACTCCAGCTGGTCGCGGCGGTGGGGGTATCCTCTCACAGCTGCTCAAATTACACGCCCAGCAGCAGGCCAACCGGGACAATATGTCCATGACCGACTCTTCCGACAACGAGTCCGTGGCATCCTCCGGCACCGCAACGCCTAGGAGAGACTTTTCCGCCGGCACTTTCTCCTCCGGAACGGCTACCCCCAAGAAAGAGAAGGTCAAGTGGTACAAGAAGTCGAGTCATCAGTCCACCGCTTCCCTGGTGGAGGCGTCGATGAACCTCAGCCGGGCGAGTTTGCCTGCGTCGGCAGACACTCTGGTGAACATTCCCAACAAGAAGAAGGGCAAGAAGAAGCGCAAGACCCGTCTCGAGGACGAGATCCGCGTGACGGTGCACATTGCCGAGATTCTGGCCCGCCAACGATACATCATGCAGCTCTGCCGGGCGCTCATGCGCTATGGTGCTCCCACTCACCGTCTGGAGGAGTACATGCAGATGACGGCTCGTGTTCTGGAAGTCGAAGGGCAGTTCTTGTACCTACCCGGGTGCATGATCATGTCCTTTGACGATCCGGCTACGCGTACGGCCGAGGTCAAGCTGGTCCGTGTGGTGCAGGGAGTCGATCTGGGACGCTTGGCGGAAACACACAATGTCTACAAGAACGTCGTTCACGATATGATCGGGGTGGAGGAGGCCATTCAGGAGCTTGATCTGATCATGAAGCGGCCTCCACGGTTCAATAAGTGGATCCTGGTGGTCACCTACGGATTGGCGAGTGTTGCCGTTGGCCCTTTTGCCTTTGACGCCCGCCCTATTGACATGCCTATTATCTTTTTCCTCGGATGCTTGGTCGGCTTAATGCAACACGTGTTGGCGCCCCGGTCGGTGCTGTACTCCAATGTGTTTGAAGTCACGGCAGCCATCTTGACCTCGTTCCTTGCGCGAGCCTTTGGTTCCATTTATGCCACCATCGACGGGACGCACGAGCGTCTGTTCTGTTTCTCCGCCTTGGCTCAGTCCTCGATCGCTTTGATCCTACCGGGTTTCATGGTCCTGTGCAGCAGTCTGGAACTGCAGTCGCATCAAATGATTGCCGGTTCAATCCGCATGGTCTATTCCATTATCTACTCCATGTTCCTCGGGTATGGCATCACGGTCGGCACTACCATCTATGGGCTGATTGACGGCAACGCGGCCTCGTCCACAACCTGCAAAAACGAGGACGTGTGGGGAAGCAAGTATATCCAGCATTTCATCTTCGTTCCGATCTACGTGATTTTCTTAGCCATCATCAATCAGGGCAAGTGGAAGCAGGTGCCCGTGATGATCGTCATTGCCGTCTGCGGCTACGTGACCAACTACTTCAGCACCCTCAAGCTGGGCTCCAACTCGGAGGTGGCCAACACGGTCGGAGCATTCACCATCGGTCTTTTGGGTAATCTGTACAGTCGGCTGTGGCACGGACATGCCGCCACAGCCATTCTTCCGGGTATTTTCGTGCTGGTGCCGTCTGGCTTGGCATCCAGTGGTTCCTTGCTGGCCGGTATCCAGTATGCCGACGAGGTGCGCGACAACCTGCGATCGGGAAACACGACTGCGACCGACAGCACCTCGGACTCGTCGATTGCCAGTCTGGGTTTCGGTATGATCCAGGTCGCCATTGGCATTACGGTGGGATTGTTCGTGTCTGCCTTGATCGTCTATCCCTTCGGCAAGCGTCGCAGTGGTCTGTTCAGTTTCTAGATTTGACATTTGATAATTACATATACACCGAGCGGTTTGGATTTATATTGTGTTATGATGCGTTGAATCATGTATTTCGGGATCTTGTGTTGCATTTGAGCCGGCTTTGCATAGACATGATTGATTGATTAATTGATTCCTTTATTTACTACTCTCTGTCTCTACTTTTCTCTTATTTCGGGTCATTGCAGGGCAATGTCTAGCCTTGAGACCTTGGGTTTGCTGG